CTGGAATCAACTCTTAAATGTGATAGTCAGAGTGCTATTCATCTAATGAAAAATCAGAGATTTTATGAGCGCACTAAACACATTGATGTCAGCTTTCATTTTATTCGAGATGTTGTTGAAGAGGAAACTATCAAGGTCGTGAAGGTTATCACAGACGATAATGCTGCAGACATGTTGACCAAGATAGTCCCGCTCGCTAAGTTTGCACACTGCAATGACTTGGCGGGGGTGTGCATCAACTGATGCAACTCCGAAGAGAACAGTTGTTAGGTGGAAGTGATATGTTCAACAATGGTTTGATTCTTCTTGTTTCTTACAACGGGGTTGCCCAGTAAGCTTAGAAGTTTCGGCCAGAGTTGTTCACACGCATGCTCGAAACGCAAACCAAGGTGGTGATTGAAAGTGTTGGTTTATGTTTAGTCAACAATGACATGCTAATTGGAAGAATTGGTGGAAAGAGTTGGTGTGGATGCTATGAGGAAGCTTCCTCCTTTGATGTCACCCATGACATCAAGAGGAAGTAGTTTGATGTCACCAATGACATCAAGAGGAGGTCTTTACCTCTATAAATAGATGCACTCCTTCATTTGTAGAAACCATCCCAAAAATAATACAATACATTGTAGTGAGTAGAGAGTTAAGAGAGAAATTCTTTTAAGTGTAATTGGGAACTCTCTCCTTCCTTTGTTAATAATAAAAAAGCAACTGTTCTCTAGTGGACGTAGGATTATTTTGATCCGAACCACGTTAAATCTTGTGTTCTTTCTTTTACGTTTCCGCTAACATGTGGTGATCAACTTTTCTTGTTTTAGACAGCAAAGATACTGTGATTTACACTCCATTATTGAAGTTTGTGACGAACGACTTTTCATGATTCCATTTGTCCATGTTGTGAATATGCATCGTCGTGCAATAAAGTTGTTCTTTTATGCATAGTAGTTGTCATGGCTTAGCTTGTTGCTGAGCAGGCTATTATTCCGAAAACATGAAAAATATTGTTCTTTGCTAGTTAGTATGACATAAGGACTAGTCACTATATTTAATCAAGAGGCAGCATAACACAGGGTAGGCATTGATGATTCCTATTTAAACTGGGGAGGGGTGACGGATTAACACTTGTTAACTAACCTAAATGTTATATTAGCTGCACGTGCGGAGTTCTTCATCCTCTTGCTATTCATCACGATCCTTTCCCTAATGGAAATTTCCTTTCATATTTTCATGTGGTTTCAGGTATGCAACAACAAAAGCTTTCATCGTAGCCTTCCTGATGACCTTCTGCTCTATATTTGATGTCCCAGTATTCTGGCCAATATTGTTATGTTACTGGATTTTTCTCTTTGTCCTCACTATGAAGCGTCAGATCACACACATGATTAGATACAAGTATGATCCATTCAACATTGGGAAAAAGGTAAAGAGTTTTTCACTTGAATGGAACTTTTTGTGATAGTACTCTTTGCTGCTTCTCTTTGTTATCTCATTGTTTTTATCTTTAGCTTATGACATATGTCTAATAATTTTCAAGTTTTTTGATTAATAAATTAATCCTCCTGGATTCTGCAGAAGCATACTGGGAATAAATCTGATTGAGGCAGTAGTAGCTTCACGGGGAGCTAATGTCAGGAGTGATTTTTGATATCTTGCCAAGGGTAGTGAATGTCCCCTTCTTTGTTTTGAGAAACTTACTGTAAATATTCTTTTTCTTGAACATGTATCCCATGCATATGTAAATGTTGCGAAGTATGTAGATTTGCTTCCTGCAGATGTAAAAGCAAGTGTAGAGAGTTACCATGAACTCTTTTTTTGGTTTCCTTTTGATTTCTTACAAGGATTCAGGTATTTGGGAGGATAGGGAACTTTGTTATTATCACCATTGCACCTATTGAGTTACTGCACCACTATGTCTAAATATAATACTACTAAAATCAGGAGCATGGCAGATATTAGGTGATGTTGTGTTCCTTGACAGAATGTCAGTTGCTCCAGGTTAGGACTTATGATGCTCTGTTATCTTTCGTTAATTGATCTCCAATCTTTCTTCTCTGGATCAGGGGTGGACCCACATAGGGTCAAGCGGGTTCTTTGTCAGAAAATAACACTGTATATATAGGTATATTGTATCTTTCTTCCAGTAAATCCTGTTATATAATTTTTGTTGACCCCCCTTGTCAGTCTAGCCCATTGGCGAAGTGGGTTCAAAATTCCTAGAATACCTAGGTTCCAATCCAGTCTGCTGCGTATATTTTTGGTCACTCTTTTTTACCCTATCTACAACACTCTCTTTTTACAAGAAACTGAAAATAATTTAAGGTTTATTCAATATATTTTTAACATAATCCCAAAATAATTCGTTAATGATAAGATGAGCCGGAACCAAAATGTGATTCTTTTGGACTTACAGTACACAAATAGGTGGTAAAAAAAAATTATAATTTTATATATAGCGCCGTAATACCTGGCGTTATACAGTAACGGCACCGTTAATGTATAGCGTCAGGTATTGTGGCGCTATACTGTAAAATCTGACACGGCCAGGTATAGCGCCACAATACCTGGCGCTATACATACATCATTAATGTATAGCGCCAGGTATAGTGGCGCTATACTTCTTTTTCCTAGCCCCGCCAATAATTCCTGACTTCAATAATTCAAAAGCGTATAGTGCCAACTTTTGGGCGCTATATATATATAATTTCCCGGCTAGCTATTTCCTATATAAAGAGGTTAGAATTGTATAGAAATTCATTCAAAAAAAATTTTAACTCTTGTTGAAACGTTTATTGTTCTTAAATTCTCCAGCATCTTTTCATTATGTCTGAAGAGCGTAGAATAAGAGTTTCATTGTGATGGAGAATAACTCCGTGGGCTACACTTTACCTGCTCAGTGTCATGTTAAATTGCCACTTACAATAGAGTACGATAAATTGATATCATTGTTATGCAAAAAACTGAGTGTGAGGAAACGTTCAGTGATACTTAAAGTAACCGGAAGATATCTGTATTCCGTCACTCCGCAAGGGGTTGCTTTTTACTCGGAGTTTAACATCGACGATGATGAAACTT